TGTGTGTGTGTGTGTGTGTGTGGCAGAGTCATGCTGAGCGCCCAACTCAGTCAATCTAATACATTCAAAGATTGCTGTCTGGGCTCGACTAAACCTTAATTAGACAAAGATAGGTGGGTGGAGGGTTATTATAAGCCTCACTATAAGCTTGTGACTTGTGCTCTTGTTCATGGGTCTTTAGTGATGAATGAGTGTGTCTACCTGGATGAGTCATAACGACCTGTGCATTCATTGTGCGTCCTCCTCTGAACTTGTGAGCACTCATACATCTGCAGAGACACCGAGCTGAGCTCCAGTCACACTGAATTTACTCAACTCCGCAATTACTCAAGTAGGCATCTTAAAAAATGCATCATGTACCGCTATTTGTCTGGTCGGCTTCAAAATGTTCTCCTGGATCTGCTGCAGTAAAGCGCCTCACTTAATAATAAATCCACGTTGGAATACAGCAGATACTGGCCTCACTGTGTCCTTCATTTTATTACAAAAAATTATGAATTGCACGTCATTCACCGTGACCGTCTGAATTCAGACTGTCGTCGCCAAGTCCCTCAGCAGAGTTTTAACGCAGCCCTCCAATCCACTTCTTCCCCCAATAGCATTATCTTCAACTAGATTAGGAACAGTGAGACTGGAGGTTATGTAACTATGCCAACTAGGGATATCTTCCTGTCTCTGTATCTCTGTCTATGTCCCCACCCCATTTTTCAAGCTTCTTGTCTCTCTCTCTTTCTCACACACACAAACACACACACAGAGATACACACTCACTCACACACTCCATCCCTCTGTGACTTATTTCGATAAAACGTGCTCCAGAACCATGACTTCATCCTCAATGCAAAAGCTGCAGCTCCACCTGACATCCGTGACTGCGTCCACCCCCACCCATGCATCTGCAGCCCACAGCCTGTGTGCTCCTTCTAGCTTAGACCGCTAATAAAACATCCACAATATTTACTCCCCCACCGAGTCTTGATTTTCCTTTTTTTTTCTCCAAGGCATGCGCTAGACTCTGATGAGCATTTGGCCAACATTAAAAAAAGATTAATTCAAATGAATTCCTAAACAAAGACTGCGTTAATCTAATAAGGGGTATTTTGGTGTGTGGTTTGCTTTCATGACAGCAGGAATCCTGGATAGACGTCAGGATGAAAGTGGAATAGAGAAACATCATTCACATCAAAAGATCATGGAATTCACTGGGATTTCTGTTTATAATGAAATATAATATAATGAGCCTTCGTTAGTAGCCAGTAAAAGAAGAGGGAGGATTTTTTTAAAAGGGGCTGAGCCGTGGAACTTGATGCCAAATTAAATGTAAAACATGTGCAGTGCTGCTTCAACAACAAAGGGGGGAATAAGTGTTTCGCAGCACCACAAGAGCACATCTGAAGAGCTCTTGAATAGAGCCGAGATGAAAGGGTTGGGAAGGGCTGAGTCTTTGCTGCAGTGGGATATTAGAAGAGACAACAAACAGAAACAAAACACAACATGTGTAAATGAGCTAACACGCATGCTGGCAACACAAACACACACATGCTCAACCTAACCGTGTAAGAGCAGCAAAAGGGTTGTGTATCTTACCGAGCTGTAGAGCATGCCCTCGCCATTCATGCCGATGTATAACCCACTCTTCACGCCCTGGATGGCCACCACTCTCAGACCCACTGGAATTAGATTAAACAGGGCTGCAGAGAGGACAGACGGAGGGAGGGATGGACAGATGCAAAGAGAGAGGGAGACAAAAGAGAGATATCAGACAGACAGGACAGAATAGAACATTTGAGATTTCACAAAAGACTCTGATCTCAGTTGTTTTGCTTTCTGTCGGCAGTAAAGTGGACAGTAAAGGTCGTGGACAATTGAAACACTGAGGCACCAAAACTTTTCAGGTATTTGAAATGTTGTCTGGGAAAATATGGTAAAGCTCCTTCAACATCAATTTCAATGGAATTGTCCTCAAAGCAATGTCACACTGATTTGCATTTATGTGACTTTGTACACAACAAGCTCTTGTTTGAAAGGATGTAATTGGCAGCCAGAAAGAGATGAAACCACTATATCACAGGAATTGAGGCTGAACAGTGACAAATATCTAAACTCACATAAAATCTTATGTTTTCTCTGTTAGATTAGACAAGTTGAGTATAACCACAACAGAAAAATGTAATCATGACAAATTAAGGACTTGATGTTTATACAGAGAGATTATTAATTCTGAAACTGTCCAGTGGAACATCCAGTTCTAAATGGCTCTGAACTTGCAGATATGAGTTATTGTCATCTCCAGGTGAGTTCCGCTGACTCTGCTGACTGGACTGTGACTTCTAACGGGCTTTGGTTTTGGTGAGGGTGTGAGGTCACTTTACATTCCGCAGGCTGCCTGTATTGTTGGCATGATTGTTCTTGCGAGTGGCGATGGGGACTATCAGATAAAGCTGGAGAGACAAGAGGAGATGTGCCAACACAGGTCCGTCCTCCAAGCAGATTCAATTTCACTCAATAAATATCGACACGCTGCTTTCGCCTGCCAATGGTTTCTATCCGCCCTAAGGCCACTGGTGTGGGTGATACACACTGACCCCTGTTGCAGTTGGGTATACCCTTGAGGGCTGGATGATTGGGGTATAAATGCAGGATGTGACTCCATTTCCACCTGAAATCTTGTTTTGTCAGGCTCGGGCAGAGTCTCTGATTTTTTTCCACATCTCTTCTGTTGTAACGCTCTCTTTCTCATTTTTTTTATCCTCTTTTCATGGCTGCTGCTGGGGGTGCACAGTTCTGTCACGTATCACCCAGCAATGTTCTGTGCCAGAGCCCATTCACCTATCAAAATGTAGCTTTCTATGAGATTTCATATTTGCCGTATAAGGCCCAGAATAAGACTCTCAATGATGCCCCAATTGGAAAGTGGGAGGAAAAACGACAACATATAGTGAGACACTATTAAGCTATAATAACAACCTGCCATCGCTGCTCAAAAAAATTAAAAGCTGACAGGAGCTGTCATTCTTCTAAATGTCTGGCTTTTCTATTTGCAGTTCCACTAGTTGATGGATTCCATAACAGCGGCACTTACTGCTGTCTGTACCTGGTGACTCATCTGAAGACAATTCCTCTTTCCTCCTAATAACCTCAGAAAAGACAGCGTCCAGGCTGGTGTGGGGGACAGAGATTTCAAAGGGGATCTGCTATCGTCAAAGAGCCACACAAAATAGGTTTAAACAACCCAATAAAGCAAAAATCCTTGAAACAGCAAGTCTTATGGTGGAGCAATAATCGGCTACAAGCAAAACCTGCAGGTAGGCTAAAGGAAGCGCATTTGATGTGAGGAATACTGGCGCAGCAGGAAATAAACCCTGCAGAAAAGGTTTAGTTTAAAAAAGAACACTGGGCCAAACTTAAAATGCCGAGGGCACATCTCCAAATCCAGAGAGAAACACAAATCCAGATGGAAATGTGGGTATATAGGTGAGTTACTTACATATTTAATATTATTTTTCCCACAGTTCTCCTACTCTCTGCAAGAGTTGATTATGCACTTGGAATGAATGCCTGAGTCTCCAAACAATAAAATGAAATAGTAACCTTCCTTCATCCTATCCATCAAACCCAGAGCATCAGATACAGATGGAGTGGGCGCCTGATACCACAGGTGACTCATATCCAACACTGTCTTTCCAGAGCCTTCAGAGTGTGCAGGTAATTACTGAGGGCGATCAACTGATGACAATCAAATTAATAACTACGCAAATTGGAACACGGGTGTTAATTAATTGAATGGTGTTCCGTGACAATTGTGTAGCTCTGCCAGTCACCGATGCTTAAATCAGTTTTATGTGTAATACAGTAACAACCAGCTCTATTCTGTCACTTCTCACAATTTACTGAATATTTTGGGTAAAATAAGTTTCTAATAATTTCACTATAAGATTGTAGCTGTTTGTCTTTAGAAAGCATATCTCAAGAACTGTTCATTTTATTGGCTTCACACTTGCCGTGTGTATTGTTAAGGGCCAAAAGAGGCGCAGAGTCGAATTCGGTGCAATTTGGACGCACGATACATTCAAAATAAATAAATTTAAGGTTCTGCATTCTGAGTCAGGATTCTCTGGACTTTGAATAAACAAGTGAACAGCTCTTTGTGCAGCAGCGGTGGTGCAGCTTCAGGGTTCTGTGGACTGAGTCCTGCAGCCGGTCTGTAGCCTTTGCCATGGCTCAATTACTGCAGGTCACTTGGACAGTTTCAAAAAGAAAAGCTGAAACCAGCATCACCGCAGGCCAAACAAACAGCCTAATTCAAAACAGGTTGATTCAGATAAGACACTGCACTAGTCCTACTGAGAGGATCGCAGCAGTCAACCCACCTGATCTGTCAGTCCGTCTTTCTACAACCACTTGACTTCAAACTTCACAGGTTCGCTGCTGAGGACCCAGGGATATTCAGCATCATTATCTGCACTTGCTGTTTCCACTGGTAACCACATTTAAGATACAACCACTTGATACTGTCCCTGATGACATCATTGAGGGTCACACTCCAACATTCTGGGCGCTCACTAGTTTAATTAAAGCAGAAGGTCAGTTGTTTGTAATACATTCATCCAACCATAAAACCGTTTTCATTTCATTTGTGTCCTTGTCGTGGAGCTTGCTGTAATCTGGTACAGAATTATAGTAAATTATAAAAACATAAAGTAGACTGGCTCAGGTCGCACCTTGTATGGAGGGGGCATCAACATTCTCCTCAATCCAATTGCTTCTTCTGAAACTCCCACTGAAAATAAATAACCGGATCCTGCTGGTCAAAAGGTGGTGTGGTTCAAGGGTGGGTGTAATCTATTATTCTAATAATGCTGCCAGGCAATCAATAGTTCAGTGCGAGACCTGAATACCAAATCTTCTTGCTCCATTTTTATCTTATCTAATCATGCTCTCTGATTCTTTTATTCTTTGCCCTGCGTTTTTCTCCTAAAATCATTTCCAATCCGTCTCGCTGCACCTTCTCCTCCCCTCTGCTTTCCCTCTGTCTCTTCCATCGGACTGTCTGAGCTTGAGGCATCTCATAGAGAGAATTATTCATTGGGTACAAATGGAGAAGGTGGTATTTTTAGTTTCCTGTGGCTGAATTATTCACTGCATTCCTCCATCCCTGGGCCAGCGGGGCTGCTTAAGAAGAGGATTACCTAGAGGTGGGGAAACCCTTGCATACAACAAAAACCTCATCAGCCAAAACCTTTATAGGACACAATGGAGGCCACATAACGGCACAGAAAGTCAATGCATTACATGTCATAATTTTCCCCCTTTCTACATTCGGTTCTGGATTGGTTCTCGCAGAAGATCTGTTTTTGCTCCGGCTTCCTCAACCCTTGGCAGAATGTTATAAAAAAAAGTGAGGCCATGATTGGCTTCCTGCCGGGCTTCTCACCACACTGGTAGTGTTACTGTCGCTTTGACAATCACTCTCTGCTGACATACACCCATCAACCAGAACTGTTTTTCATTTTGTGGCTGATGGGATCGGTGTCTCTGATCCCTTGCTTATCACAAAAGACATGTTGTTGTTGTCTCTACAGATTCTACAGAATTCCCTTGTTTCTGGTCCTATGGCAGCGGAGAGGGTTTGAGCGCTTTAGGCAACAATGCCCTGTAGACTATTTATCCACTGGTAGTCCACTATGGAAATTCGATCGGTAGTGAAATATTATCCCTAAGAAGTAGCTCAGGGATGGATCTTTGTGACAAGGACTGATGCTGTGTGGCTACACTTGTTTCAGGTGATGGGTTATTCCAGGAAGACAAACTGTTGTGATAATAACTCACTCTTGAGCGCTGAATTAATCAAGACGATGTGACGCATGATAGAAATGGTTTAAAACAGGTACATGGGACATTCATCAGAATGAATTCTACCTAGGAATAAATATGTTTTATTGCAAGATACTCCATAAATATTTTATTCACTGTGAAAGGTAAACTGTTGAGAAGATGAACCCAGAAATCAAAGCATTTGAGTAGGTTTTGACACATTTATATCAATGCATGCCATTGCATAACCAGATACAGAAAAGAGGGCAGGCTGCCTTGTGGAATCTGTTTAAGTAGTTCCCCTTAAAAACTGTAGATAATCCAAATCAGTGGGGCCTTCTTAAACTAATTTTGGAGTGCTTTGGGCTGCCAAAATGGCATCAGTTATATAAGAATTAAAATGATAAAGCGTAGCATATAAAATGGGGTAATATGCCGGATTATATAACCAACTGACTCATTGCCATTAAATGTTTTATGCTGGAAGCGCTTGCTTCCACGATGCTCCACTCACTGTTGTCGCTGTTTTCGTCCTTGCTGCCGTCGATGGTTCCATCCGGCTGCATCTGCAGGTAGAAGCCCTGCTGGCTGAACAGTCGTGTCACGATGCCTTTCAGCTGCGGCTCTGAATGACACACACACACAGACACACGCACACAAACACACAAACCGCCGGCCGAGCCACGGCCCCATCCCCACAGAATAACAGTCTGATAATCATGACAATAACACAGGAATGAGTAAACACCTCTGCCTGCAGCTGCTCAGTGTTTGCATAAGTTTGTATCAAACCATTTCAAAAGCTGAAATCATCACAAAGAACTGTTTTGCAAACAGAAAATGTTCAGTGTTTAGTTGATTGAAATGAGACACCTTGGCTGTAATAATAAAATAATAATAACTTGAAATGATATAGCGCCTTTTAAGACACCAGAGGATGCTTTAAGATGGAGTGTACCACCAAAGAAATAAAAACATTTCATTTTGTAATTATTAGACCAGAACAATTAAATTCTCAATTATAATTATCCATTGGTAAAAACTCAGAAAAAGACTTATTATTCCTGAGGCACAATCCGACATGTTGTCATGACACATCTGTTGCATCAGATCAGAAAGGTAAATGGCTGTTTCACTGGAAGGCCCTTACAACGGGAACACCATGACAGGAAATCAATGAGAATGTTGTTACTTTCTCATAATGTCAGACTGGATCTGGTGCAGAAAAATGATTTTGCATTATTTGGAAATCCTTTTTAAAAACATTGACATGCCAATGGTTTCTTTATTTGGTATGAAGCAACTGTACATTTAGAGGTTATCCTGATTGATATTCAATTTAATCTTTATTTAAGACATTTTACTGGCAAAAGGTTCACACAGAAGGATTCCAGTGGGAGGGATCCTTGACCAGAAGGAAGTTGACCTAAAGTTTTTGCAGGTTTTTCTCCATCACAGTATCCCTGAACCAACCTCCAACTTTGAGGCTGTGACATCTGGCGCCCGGCCAGTAGCTGCTCGAAGGGGAGCAGATAGAAATGAGGATTAGCTCAGAGCAAAGAGTGCCTCTTGGCCTCGGGCTATGCCAAGAAAAAGGAGATAGCTGTGTAAAAAAAAAACTTGTTTATCTGAGAGAAAATGCGTGTGTGGTCGCCATGGTCTGTCTCGTGTCCAGCAGGTCTTTAAGATCTTTTTGAAAAGCAGAGTAAAATGGCTCTGTTAATGTAAACCGGCATTGGGTTGTGACTTTTGACAAGCAAATACTGTCATGAGTCATTTTGACTGCAAATAAAGAAAGACACGCTGAGTGTCTGTGCGTTCTACGTACATGTATGTGAGTGTGTGTGTGTGTGTGTGTGTGTGTTGTTTTTGAAACAAGCTCCACTGAAATCAGACAGCAACTCAGATGCGGAATATTACTGATCCTTTGTTTACTCTCTGCCAGACAAGAGAAACAAATTATGCATTTTGTCACAGTTTAATTTGTGCTCAGTTTTATTTTATGTGCCTAAATAAACATTACGTCAGTGGAAATGCTGGCTTTGAAGGCTCACGGCATGTTCTGACAAATAAAACACAGTGTGTGATTGTAATAAAGGCATAGGAGCGAGTCTGACTGTCCTCCAAGGTCATGACAAGACATGGAGGTCGTGCAATTCAGTGCCAAGCCAAGCCCGGCACATAAACCCAAACAATCTGGCAAAAAGAAATATTTTCAAACTTGGTATCTGGAGAGAGAGGAGTGATCCATATCCAAATCTGCCTTCAACTGTGACAGTAGAATCTGCTTGAGAGTTCTGGCACAAAGGTTCTATTGACAATATAAAGAAATGGGTCCCATATAAAGACTTGGCTAAGTAGTGACCCCGGCTACAAAGGGTTCATATCTGCTGTTCAAATGTACGTCGCCCTGACCATCAATCCCCCAACTCACCTACTCTTGGTGGGGCCATCAATCCCTGGGACAGGCCCTTCATCATGCATCACAGGCAGGGTGAGGAGGATGTGTATGTCTGCATGTGTGTGTGTGTGCGCTTTTCTGTGCCTTTGTGAAAGCACACCAGTGTGCACACCAGTAAATCACACGTGATAACTACGCCTCCATAAATTAGGGCTCCATCGTGGGCTTGAGCAATCGCTGACGGCTCATCAGCTCCAATCATTTAGCAAAGTGTGTGTGTGTGTGTGTGTGTGTGTGTGTGTGTGTGTGTGTGTGTGTGTGTGTGTGTGAGATGTGGTATAAACAGGCTTCACCCAAGACCTTACAACATATGCATGTGTGTGTGGATAATGTCTTCCAGTGGCAACATAGAGATCATCATCCTGTGTGTACGGATCATTACAATGTCAATAACTTTACTTCATACCAATACAGAAGGACAAACACATTTAGGTATGTCGACAAATGGCATCATGACCATGAAATGGTGAATGGTCACCTGTTCTTATATAGCGTTTGACACGGAGAAGCACATCATATCCAGAAACACCGATGTACACTACAATAAGAACCTCTACTACATTTACACAGCAGTACTTGACACATATTTACAGACATAGAACAAGTAGCGAGGGTAACGACTGATCCGACATTGACTGACAAAGAGAATGAGACAGGGAACAAAATGAGGGGAGGCAGAGACGGAGAGAAAAAGGGACAGAGATGCAACGAACGACTGGCTACAGGAGAGCTAGGAAATTAAGCTTCAAAAGAAACGAAAGCCACACAGAAGGAGGGATGACAGAGAGAAAGAAGAAACAAATCAGCGAGAGAGAGAGAGAGAGAGAGAGAGAGAGAGGGTCGTCGGCTGTCAGACAGGTGTTGAAGCCCCCAAGCCCTACCCTCCCTCTCTGTCCCATCCCGTCCCTCCCCATCCACCCACCCACCCAACCTACCAACCACCACCCCCAACCCCTTCTCCCTGGCCGAGGGGGAGTCGGACATGGGCGCGAGATGGGGTGGAGACGAGAAGAGGAGGAGAAACACAGCACACACGGATGGAGGCTGAGCTACTGACCTAGCCTGCAGCCCTTATGGGACACCTGTGGAGGTTTCGAGGGTGCATCTTACGAGGGGTGGGAGGAGGGGGTGGGGGGGATAGAAGGAAAAACAACAAGGCTTTTAAACAGGCAGAATTCATAAAGTCTCTCCAGTGTATCGGTTCTTTATATGCACATATAATGGCAAATTAAGGCATCAGATGGAAATAGAAAGGACGATCAGGTAAAGGACATATACAGCATGTGTCCCGTGTCACAGCTGTCTGACCTCCACTCTGGTTTTGTATTGGCCCTGTCAGGTGACTGGAAGTTACCTACCTGCCCGTCAGTGTTGAGGCCTGACTGCTCTGTTGTCGCTCTACGATTCTATTGTGGCACGTTTGGCACTGACATTGTTTGTGTGTCTGTTGAGGCTGCACGACGACAGGGTTTTAATTCAGTCTGTCTGGCCGGCTGGTCTGCACATCTGTCCCTGTTGTCTCCCTCCCCCTGTCTGTCTGTCTGTCTCTCCTCATCCTTCTGTCTGGTGGGGGAGACACTGAGAGGCTGTCGTCCATCACATAACAGAACTCTCTGGATGTGCACATGGAGGGGTGACATGCACCCCTGTCATGTTATCATGAGCACCAGTGGAATAAAAGAGGGAGGGGACGGCTTTACAAGGGGTTTTAGTGAGCGTGTAGCTTATTCCTGTGCCTATCAATACAGCCGGAGTAGCTCTTAATCACTGAAGCTGTGCCCCCCTTCACTGCAGTAAGACTCCCTCTCTGCAATAAACATTTACCATTAAAACATTTAATCTCAAAAGAGCCTTGGTGCACTGCGGTGCAACTTATCTCCCCTCTGTATACTTCAATCTGCATTAATATTGAATTAGGACATTTAAGGCAGAATTTGTGAGTGTGTGTTCAAGTTGTGTGTGTGTTCAGAGGGTGTGCATGCATGGGACAAAGATTAGTGTGCAAATTCGAAGGTAGGCAGAAACCTGCCACGGCTTTGACTGGGATACAGTGCCACCAGTTTTGTTGGAGGGTGATTAGATTATTCTGATCAGAGCACTATCACAGTAAATAAGGGGGTGGGGGGGGTCACGTCACAGCGTATTTAGATGATTCCCTATACATTCAGGCGGAGGGTTTTGGGGGGCTGCGTCTTGGTGGGTCGACAGACAACAGAAGGACCTAATGGAACAGGTGGACCGTTTTTTACGCACCGCGGAGAAAACCCTAGCTTCTTGTGTTGCTCTGGACTGCAGTATAAAGCCTCTGCTGCTCTACAGAGGGGCGGGGTAGGAGTGGGGGGGGGAGGGGGGGTTGGGTGACCGCGTCCATCCATATACGCACACATAACACACATCAGTGGGGTAAAAAAAAGAAAAAGAAACAAGAATCGACAGCACTGACCTGGTCGCCGCCGCACTGGTCTTTTTTTGCCACTGCAGAAGCGGACTTTGCTGAAGACCCCCAGGAAATGCCTCTCGCACAGAGAGCGGGGGTCTTTGCTCGGGCTGGGGCGACGCTTCGAAGTGGAGACCCGGTCGCTGTTCGACTCCCTCGCCTGGCGTTTCTGACGGATCAGGGAGCTGGCGATCGCAGCCATCTCCCCGAACCGAGACTAAAAAAAACGAGGAGTCTAGTCGACAGATGCAGCAGCTTCTTGCTGCAAAAAATAAAATAATAAGGGGAGTTTTTTTTCTGTGTTTCGGCCCCACGAGTGTTTCAACCAAATGTCATCCTGATCACGAAATCCTCCGAGTTCCGTGCATCGCTGTGCTTCAGGTGCATCCTCTTGATGTGGAACCGTGGCGTGGATTTCAGCTGCTGCTGAGTTTTACGCACAACAGGGCTGCGAATCAAGCGCCACCGATTTCAGATCTTATATGATACATAAAGCTGCAGGCGAGGCCACAGGGGCCGACATGTCAGCGGTGGAAAATATGCAACAGTGTCGACAAGTTGATGCAGCTGCGCGTCATGGGAGAGCTTCAGGTATTCCAGGTGAAGAGCGTAATCCTCATCTGCACACACAGCCTGTTCACTGGCTCCCCGACGCCTTTCTAATCACTCGCATCAACCTGAATCCACGCGTGCATAACTGAAGAGAGGAACTTTTTTCCTCTTTTGGATTATATTTACTCCACTGCCATGAATGGCACCGTCCGTGGATGCGGCTGTGCACGCAAGAGCCCAGATATCCGAGCTCGGTCTCAGGTTCCGTCGATGGTACCGAATGCAGCCCGGAGTGAAAAAAAATGGAAACGGGCAGCAGAGGCTCTACTCTGCAAGGATGCTGCAGAGATGTGATTCAAGCGCGCAGGGAGTGATTCTCGTCTGGAAAGCAACAATTAGTTGAGGCGGACGCGCACCAGAGTGCTTTTAGTTGTAGCGCACAAATAATAAAGTAGCCTAGGAATTATTCCCCGTGCGTCCCCGAATATGGATGCTGTCGGTGTGTTCCATCGCCGACAGCTGGAGCGAACTGTCTCGGTCCATAGCTCCCCTCTCTCCCTCTCTCTCTCCCCCCTCTCACTCTCTCTTTCTCTCTCTCTCGCTCTCTCCCTCTCCAACTCTTTTAACGCAATCATACGTGATTGAGGTTTGTATTAGGAGTCCTCGGGGGCTGGACAGGAAAGGTAGATGATATCTTGAGGAAGAGAGGACGTGGATATAAAATATATAAAACACAAAACAGAGGAAATGAGGTGAATATGGGTGGGTGTTGGTGAAGGGGGGTGAGTGATTTTTAGGGGATAATGTGCACAAATAAAGTGAATTACACTTTCAAATCTTCAAGAGCAAACCAGTTTCCAAAAGCAACAGTTCAGTAAGCAAGGTGGCCTCAATAAAAGGAGGTATCATCATCAGCTTTGGCTGATAGTGTTCCTGCTCCTATAGCTTATGGGAGATAAGCAAACATTTTATTTACTAAAACCCCTGGGGCCCACATGCCATGAAGAACATATCAAACGTGACTAAAAGGATTACCTGCAACAGGTGTCAGAGTATGAACACAAATCACCAAGTGCAGACCCAACATATGGACAAATATGATTTAGGATTCAGGCAAATTAAATCAGACGATTACATATAACACCATATAGTTCATATCATTTACTCTTTTGCTACTGCCTGTTGAGAAAACGTGTTTTTGTCACTGATCACATCTGAATGCAAATGCTCAGCTGTAATGAGCACAGTGTTATAAGCCATGATAAGAGGCCCCCAAAAGAGGCCTGTGTGTACTAACATGTGTCTGAGTTTCTGTGACCATGCCTCTGGTTTCATGCTATAATTGCATGGGCAAGGGATACACACCCACACACACCCACACACACACACACACACACACACACACAGTGGGAGGAAGGACACGTGAGGCTTCAGCAGCAGACTGAACATCTCTCCTCCCCATGATGAAACAGCATGAAACATTTAGAGGCTTTTTTCTGGGACTCTGTTTGACATTCTGAATCCGGAGAGAGGTCGAAGAGAGGGGGAGAGAGAGAGAACAGAGACAGGAAGATTTTAAGATACACTCCTCCCTCCACACATATAACGGATGAAAGCCAATACCCTGGCTAGCCCTCTGTGTACTTATACATGTTTATCTCTCTGTGTGTCAGTGAGAGAGAAAGAGAGAGTAAGACAAATATAGAAGATTGCAATAGAAGTCAGAAACTGATGGATAGAGTCACTAATCAAAACACACTATGCATTTCTATTGAGCTGCCAGCAAGTGGTGAAAGTGAACATATTGCTGCAGCATAAAGAAATCAATAGTAATCAATAACAACTTCAATAATACCATGCATCATTCCAGTGGATATGCAGAGTGTTATGAATGAAAAGAATCAGCTGGTGGTGCCTTGTGATGGGATGGCGAGCATTCCTAGAAATGGGAGGGACACAGTAGAGAGACAGGATATATGTCTCTGTCAGGGAAGGATAAAGCATTACCTAATGAGGATCTGCTCGGCTTCCTCCCACCACCACAGACAATTGATGTTCTCTTTATTCCAGCAGAGATACGTCCATGAGCAATAAAACTCTGCTGCTATGAAATCCACTGCAGACAGTTCACTGCAATAATTCCAGTCATCAGTTAAAATGATTAGGACTTGGAGATGGTCGGCTGGTTCAATAAAATAAACCGTGTGATTTCTGCTTTTGTCCCTCAGTGCATCATCTATTATCATGTATTATTTTTCTTTATGGTATAAAACTTCATTGTGTGGAAATGACACAAACATGTGCTCAGTGCACAGTGTGTGTTAGAACTATAGTTGCAATGTGAGATTTTTTTTTGTTTAAAAAAAAAGTGACAGACATGAACCACAACTAGTCATTCCTTTATAACTGCTGCCCCCTTGTGGAGAAATAATTAACCACAAGGATTCACAGACTAGATGTGGATATTTCCATTCTGTGAAGTTGGACACTTCACTGTGTCCTTGAGAGACCTCACAGATTTGTTGACTCACAATAGCTGGAACTAGTTTTCATCATCTTGTGATGTAAAATGATGAACCAGCTGGTTTGCCAATACGACAGGAGGCAAAGAGTAGAACTGTAAGAGGATAAAGCTGATGTCGTTGTTCGCAGCATTCATCACCACACTTCTAGAACCACAGCTGACTGGTAACAGTGCAACAGTCACAAACTAATGCATAAAGCTGTATGAAATGTTTTTTTTTTATTTCTGATGAGTTTGATCACATCAACAAGAGTAAAGCAAAGATAAGATCCCTGCTTTCCAAAATAAAGATAGTTGTCAACATTAACATCTTTTAAGTTACATTAGCCAAAATTTCAGTCACTGCTCTGAATATTGGGCTCGGGTAGTAGAGTGGGTCATCCACTGACCATAAGGCCGGGGTTCGATCCCAGTCTCCCCCATTCCGCATGCTGAAGGGCAAGATACTGAAGGCAAAGTTGCCTCAGTGCCAACAGTGTATGAGTGTGATAAAGAGTCCTGCACATAGATGCATGTGTGTGAATGGCCAAACTGTCCTGTAAAGTGCTTTGAGCGGTCACCAGGTCTAGAAAAGTGCTTCATATATACAGACTATTGAGCTTTACAGAGCTGTTACAAGAAATATGGACGAGGACAAGGCTGTGCCACTGCTTTTCTCTCATCATACCACCCACTACTAGTGTCCTGCTACCAAGACACCCCGATTACTGTATTTAACTTCCATAGAGGAAAAGCCAGGTGCCACCCTGACACTGCAAAGGATCGCATGCAGGTGCAAACATTTAAGTCTCCTCAGAAAAACATCTTACACAGTATATCCCTCTGAGGTCATTGTTGGCATCGAGCCCGATTCTGCAGAGCAGCAACACTTTCTACTCCTGCTTTGCATGATCCTGTGCAGGCTGAAGTAAAACAGGAGCAGTGAGACCAACATGGAGGCACCTTGTAAGATGAAACCAGCTTTGAATGCAACTGCAATTCAAATTTATCATGCATTATTTTTTGTAAATATATTTCAAAAAATTCCAATTTCAATTCAAATAAAAAGTTTTCATTCTCTATCAGAAGGTTGGTTGGTTGCTTTAAAGGGGGGAAAATGCTGTATTTCGTTAACCTCAAACTAATAATCCAACAAATGATTTCATGGCTCCATCAAAACAAATCCATGCTCCACAGCCAAGCAATGATATAACATGATGACACGGAAATAAGTACAAAATAATGCACAACACAGAACGAAGCCATGGTTTGTTTTTCTTCAAGAAAGTGTGATCCTGTTTTGTTTCATTAGTTTGAGTGTGTGTGTCAAAAGTGCTCAGTCTTGAGTTTTCGTTAAGTGTCAGATTGGTGATAAAGAAACTGCTGGCATGAAACAGACCATCGTGTTCTGTTAAAATTGGGTGTTTGATCAGTTTTGTGTCCAAAATCAAAAAGTATGCAGTTATCAAGGGGATTTTAAAAAAGAACCACAGCACTTCAGCAGAGAATTCAAATTTAAGCCTGCAAATGAGGGCGCAAGTTAGTAAACACGAGACAAACTTCTTCAGCCGACACAGTTTACAATCAAACAGCTGCAACTTGGATCCACGCCTTCATTTTAGCATCGTTCTGTGTCCACACAAATGAGCTGACTGACAAAGTTTTACATTAAGGTCACAAGGTTAATCTGACAGCGAGCGGAGCCACAGGATGAGGGCCGGTGGCGCTTTTATATCTCCGCGTCCCACAGATCCCAGTGTGCAAGCTGCTTTTGGTCCAACCACCTCAGAGGAATCATCTGTGCTTAATGGAGTTTCTAATTGTCTGCCCTGAATTCGAGAGCTGCTCCGGCTCGATCTTTACAAACTCAGAGTGACGGGGAGGAGGGTGCTGCATTTATGTCCCGTTCAAAGAGCATTCGATTTCATTGTGAAAGTTCTGAGGGCGGTTTTAATCTACTGTGTCAGAATATGTGGTCATGTTATGAGTGGACAGCAGCGATGCAGTGAATTGCTGGTGAACAATTGAGAACTTTACAGGTTTCTTATAGGCTTGAGGAGGTTGAGCTTGAGTCACAGAGAAGTATGTTTTATAAATGTAAAGTAAGTTACTTCTAGAGGGAGTGTCTTGTTTACAGGTATGTGTGTGGGGGGGGGGGTTTATATAGACTAAATTAGTGAAATATTGGATCACCTTGTACTTATCATCAGCAAATTTCCAACTCAATTATCTATTATATTGTAGTTTTTACTCTGTGCTGTCAGTAATATAGGGTCCCATTGATTAAACATCATCAAATTGGGGTTTGAATTAAGTTTTGAAAAGACACATCTAGCAAAATTGTGACATTCAAAGTTGTGGGACCTCCAGGAGGTCTAATCAGGAGGCGTTTGGTTTGTTTTGGGGACTTTGAGGGGTCCTATAGAAAGGCTCTCATAATAAGTGGTGTACTTAGAGAGAGACAAAGACAGACAATTCAACTGATTTTCAGTTAAAGTATCCTGTATATTCTACAGTAGTTGTTACTCTGTGTTTTCAGAAAGACTCCAGTTGATTAAATGTCATCAAACTCGGGTTTAACGAGATAAATTTAGTGAAATCAAGACGTGAAAAGTTTGGGGACTTGCAGGTGTCCTGTGAGGAGCCTCTCATGATAAGTAGTTTGAAAAATCAACAAACAAAAGACTTCTCAACAGATTTAATTATCCAGTGTATTGTAAAGTAGTTTCTACTCTGTGCTGTCAGGTATGGGGCCATATTGATTAAACCAGATCAAACTGGTGTTTAATGAGGTTCTATAGAGAAACATTTAGTGAAACCGTGACATTGAAAGTTTGGGGACTTCCAGGGGTTCTATGAGGAGGCTCTCATAATACATGACTATATGTGCTTGTAATAAATCAGCCAAGTAAAACATTTCAGTATATTGTAAGGTGGTTGTTACTCTGTTTGACTCATTGAATTGAAGTTGAAGAGGTCATTTTAGTGGAATCCTGACATGAAAAGTTTGGGAGCCTGCCTGGGTCACT